GCAATAATAAAGTTATTGCAATTAGAGAATACAGTAAGAGACAATATTCCAACTGAAATCTTCAATTCATTGTACATAAAGCAATTTTTCCTTGATTAAACTAAATGTTCGGTCAAGAAACCTCTTGATAATTCTACAAAGCATCTTAACTTTCTTGCAGATTTTCAAAAGCCGTTGCATATAGATGGCTTATTCGCTGGATGTTAGGCTTTCTTGGATACGATAATGCCAGACCTCTCCCAGCCTGCATATATAAATTCGTAAGAGAGAGATATAGAAAAAGTACCATAAAAATGCAATTGCTTCTCAAATACACTGCAGATGCAATTGTTTAAATTTTATTTTATACCTCGAAGTTGAAAAAAGCTGAATATTGTCAGATATTTTCAGAAATGCTTAAAGTTCTGGTTTCTACAGGTACAGTCAGCAATTATGCTTTTAGGCAGAGGGGTTTTTAAGAAGTCAAACCTGCACTCTGTGCCAAAGAATGAAAAGCATAACATCTTCGGTTGCCAATGGTTTAAAAGGGAATTATAACCCTTCAAGGCAGCTTGTTTCTGGTATTCATCAAAATTGAGTCAAGTTTATCATAGGCTAGTGTCCCAGGAATATAATTGATTATGATAAATACTTTTTCAAAGCAAAGCTAAATGATTTCCCCGGCACAGTACTGTTGATAAAAAAGGGACCTATAAACATACCTATTTTGAACCATTTTCTCTTCTCCAGTTGATCATGTTTGCATTTTGGAAAAGCGGATTATCGTGGCCATCATGCCTGTTTGCAATATGCCTCAAAATGGATGTCCATTTAGCAGTGATCATTGCACCAAAGCCTTGTCTTGTCGATAACACACACCAATACAAATGTCTTCGAATTCCCTTGACCCAATATTGCAGCCTGTCCAACCCTTTCTCTTTAGCAGCTTGTGAAATCCTTTTACAAATTGACCTTGCCACATGCCAAATGTCATAATAATGATGGGTATCTTTCTGGTTGTTCCTTATCCACTTTGCAATCCCAGTATGGCGGTCTGATACAAATGTTGATATGTCAACTTTTTCTTTCTGTAGACTGGCAAAACATTTCTTTGCTCCAAGCAGCCCCATGGCATTGCTGGTTCCTGCCTCATTTGCCTGTGAAAATTTTGTAGTTCAGATATACTTAGTAAGATTCAGATATAGTTTAGAGCCCCCCTTGTTATTTTGCTAGAACTTTACCACTGTGTGGAATCTATGTTTTATAAATTTATTAAAGTTCTTATCATCAAATTTAACGCTAACAGCAACCTTAAATGTCATGCACTAGACAGCAACCTTAAAAACTAACATCGTCATTCTGGTTTTCCAACTCATGTACTCTCTTTATCAGCATCTTTACCTCTTTCTTTAGCCTACTGTTCTTCTTCTGGCATGTAACTAGCTTAGCTGACAAAACTGGACATTTAAGGCAGCTAGCTTTTTTTGTTGTGGTTAGGGTGTCTACAAACTCGTCTAAATGAGCCTCTCTTGAGCATTGAACAGATTCAAGGATGAAGGGATCGGCAGTGCCTTTGGTTTTGGGGTCAATGTCAGGCGACTTTGCTATCGTTTTAAAGCCTGAAAAGTAATTTTGGGAGTAGGCATTGAAGAAACATGGAACAGAACAGCTACAAGGACATTAGAAATGTCACAAGAAAGACCATTACTTTTTGTATAAATCAAAGCCTAAACTTAATTTGGAGCCCTTAAGCCTTTCTTGTGCATATGTATCTATAATTATATGTGTCTATAATTAAAATTTGATACATCTCCAAAAGAAAAGACCCATTGTAAAAAAATTAGGCCCTACGAACCTTTCTTGCATTCTGTTTATCCCTTTCGCTTTCCGGCGCTCCTGAAAGGGTTCCAGCTGCATCGATTGATGGAATCCCTCCGATTTCAAGCCTTCTTAGGCTTTTAATGTTTTCACTTTGGTTTCCAATGATAATGTCAATTCTCCTCGCAAAGTCAGGCAGTTTGAAATGAATTGAGCATAACACGAAAGTAGCAGATGGAGTGAAGCCGGCTCTATGCCTTCAAACGAGAGAGACCCACTGCCTTCTTTGCTGCAGGTTTCTTTGGAAAATATGCATCGATACTCCATGCGTATAACTATTATTTGTACAGCTGGTTTTGTTAGGTGCTCCAGCAACACAGTACCTTCCTTTCCGGCCTGTATTTTTCTTCTTCTTTACTTCTATTTCACCCGGCTTTTGGTATACTTATACTAAACCCGTATGTGCGTGACAGATGTATAAATCAGATTATGTCACGCATTCCTGACTGACCGCGTAGATTTTTCGCACTAAAGATCACAAAAATCAACACTTTCGGGCTCAATTAAAAGGTGTTATAGAGATGACACGCAAAAAATAATTGCACTATTCAATTCAGCGGCTCTGAATTAATGGATAAAATAAAAAAAACACATGGTCAAAATTTTCACTAAAGTAGTTCAGTGACACTTTAAGATCATCTGGAAATCACAAAACTTTATTCTAAAACTACTTACAAAATACCCAGTGGTTACGCCTCAGTGTGGGGAGGACCTGTCTCCCCCAGTTTTCCAAGAGGTTGATTTTCTATTTTCCCGAAATCTGTTGGAAAGCCTTTGTGGTTGGGTTAATCAGGTCGATTTTGATTTTTTGTTCTTGCAAAGGAGCCCCGGTAAGTTTTCAAAATAAATCAAAAATACTAAAAAAGGCGTTTTCAGCGTTTTCCAAGAGTCTGAAGGGCTGGGAACGCCACTAAAAATACCAGGTTTTTAATTTCTTTACGCTACAGAAGAGCCAATACCACCATTCGGATCGCTTCGATGAGATCTTTCAGTTGGTGTAATTCAATTTGATGTGCAACATATATTCAATAAAATAATCCTTCAAAAGACCTGGCAATTAAAAACTATGACGTCACTATGATATCACAGTCACGCCCAATCCAGAAGGTAATCACCCAAAAAATTCCAATTGCAAAACCCTTCAAAATGAGCCTTTGGCCCCTAACATACTCCATACCGTTTGAGATTTATGACAAGAATGCCTAGAAATTGCAATGTATAATGGAGGGCCGGGCCACATGGACAAAGCATTATAAAAAAATTCAAAACATCATAAAAAACATCAATTTCTGAAGTGAAACCAAAACCGTTACCACCGTTTGAATCGCTTTGGTGAGATCTTTTATTTGGTGTTATTCATTTTGATGTGCAACATGCATTGAACCAATTAATTTAAAAAAATTCCTTGAAATTCAAGACTATTCAAGACGTCACTATCACATCACAGCCCACCCAATCTAAAAAATTCCCCTTTGAAAAATCCTTGCAAATGAGCCATTGGCCCCTAACATAATCAAGACCGTTTGAGAGTTATGACAATAAATCCTAGAAATTGAAACACAAAATGAGGGGCCGGGCCTCTTCGACACTGCATTACAAAAAATGGAAACATCATTCAAACATCGATTTGTAAAGTAAAACCAAAACCATTACTACCATTCCATTTGCTCCAATGATATCATTCATTTTGTGCAATGTATATTGATGTCTAACATGGGATGGGCAAATAAACTCCCATTTTTTGTGAACGTTAACAATAGAAGTTGTAATCAGTAAAAGCCAGCCATTAAACCATTTAACTTGTATGGCTCATTGAACTTATATTTTATTCCTTTTGATATAATACGAGGTCATTGAACTTGCATGAACCATTTAAAACAGTTCTCAATCAATGTATGACAGAAACAGCAATATTCCACATGCTCATTATAAGAAGGAAGACGAAAAAACATGAATGTCCACAATTTCGTTCTAACAATAATTTATAAAATATTTAATTAACAAACACAACAACCAAAAGCTAATATACAATTTACAATAAATAACAAATCTATAAAATAAAAAAAAATTCTCTAAACAAACTACTGAACTAAACATTGAACAAAAAAAATTTAACGGTTAAAGACCGGCCTGCTACCGGCATGAAAAATGTATTTCGCCCCGCTTTGGGGGGTTTGTTTTGTCTTGTTATGTCTTTGGTGACTTGGTTTTGTGAACTTGACAATTATTGTAATCCCTGGTCTGTAGGGAGAAGAGAAACGTTACTTAGCCGACACTAATTATGCAACAAAGACATTGAAATACACTCATTTTTTTGATAAGTGCTGAACAGTAAAAAACATTATGAAACTGTAGTACTCGAAGCTAAAAAATTAAGAAAATATATAATCGTGACTTGAACAACTGAGAGCAACGAAATTTTGTGAAATCCAAGAGCATTGCCCTACTATTATTGTGTTGCCCTAGAACTTAAGACAAAAACGAAAAAATACTTTGTTGCCTAGAACTTAAGACACATAACAGAAGCGAATCTATTGATGTGATAAAAAAGGCCACTCATGACATCATAATTAAGAAACTTTTAAGATAAATGAGTATTGAAATTTCCAGAACATCAAGAAACTGGAGTACTCAACATCGACCTTAATTTCTCATAAATAATGAGTGTATTGTTAAGATGAAAAAGGAAATTATCTCAATAATATCACCAAAAGGTGTCTAGGCATAGGGACATAATTTGAAATCTGTGCAGATGTAGGTGCTTAATATCTTTACAAGGTTTTAGTAGCTTATTATTAAATGGGCTCATAGATGAAGGGGAGCATTTACGAACATAGATGTTTGTAAAAAAGAAACTGAATGCTTGTTTATTGAGAATACACACTTTAGTCTACAAGAATATTGAAACTCATAAAGTGTATAAGAATATTGAAGCTCATAAAGTCTATAAGAATATTGAGGCTCGAAATTGCTAAAATTTAAAATTAATTTAAGAATAATCCCAGGCTCAACCTTCATCAAGACTGAAAACTTTCCTTTATCTAGATCTGAATAGGATCGTATTTGTAAAATTACATTTTGCATTTTAATATCACATTTGTTGTTCTGTTTGTTTTTGCTCAATTCAGGATGAAGCAACACATCAGAAAGATTAAATGTTTTTCTTTGATCTTAAGGCGAATTAAGAATAATTTAAGAATAATCTTAGGCTCAAAATCGAAAGTTTTTAAGAATATTAAGGCTCGGCAGAAAATTAGGTATTCTAAAAAAAGTGTCTAGAGCCATTTTAAGCAGAGCTTTAACGAGAGAGGAAATAGCGGCTGTACGAGAGTAGAAGAGGGGGGGGGGAAGAGGTGTCACTAAGCATGAAAATACAGTAGGGATATATTGTCATAAATACCTTATCTCCTTCAATCTTTTCCTGTCCCCATTCACCATTATGAATGGGGATTTTCTTTGGATTTGAAAGTGCTTTGTGATTTGGCGCTTCATTGCACCAAATTTCTTCTGGTATGGCAGCATCTAGAGAATATCCAATAAATATATCAAGATTTACAGTTCTAATCAGTTTAAATCACAAGCTTCACCCTCAAGAGCAATTTAGAATAATCATTTTGATGCATTATTGATTGATTCCAACAAAGCCTAATGGTCAAGGAGTCGGGTGGAAGAAAGTAAAATTATAACAAAATTTAATTCAACTCTAAATTCAGATCAAGCAGAACGTCCACTTATGAAGTTCATATTATTTTTGCTGAAAAATATTTACTACCCGTGGCAATAAGAAAATGAGCAAAGGTTTCTTACTCCTGTTAGATAATGCAAAGTCATGAGATCATACCTTCTTCTTGCCCCCAACGACAACTTCCACTTCAAGTTTTTTCTCTTTTCGTTTTTTTTCCACTTCCTAAAAGATATTCCAAAATTTGTAACGCAAACAGTCAACCATTTTAAGCTGCCTATCATCACGAAGGGTAACGGTTGATAGGGTACAATTATTGTTGTTAAACTGACGAGATATCATCGAAAATCATAAAATTATTCTAAAAATCACTGCTTCTAAAAATTCATGTGAAATAATAGAAAGGAATGCGATGATACCTCCTTTTTCCCCGCCAGGGATTCTCTGTTTTCTACCTCCTGGAAGGTAAGGGAAAATTTATACCAAAAGACTATAAAAAATATTTTGAAAATATATAATTATTTCTGAGCGTAGAGAGTAACGGTTGGTTGGGTCAATTTATTGTCGTCAAACTGACTAAATATAAAAAAAAACAGAAAACGATGCTTAAAATCACTGTTTTATTATTATTCATGCTAGGCAATTGAGAAAAGTGAAATAAAAATCATAGCAAAATGGCGCTTGACTGTGCCAATCTGTTGCTGGTATGGTAGGTTCTATATTACGCTAAATGAAGATATTAAAATGTGCAATTCTAATGCGTCTTAAACAAAATTCAAACCCAAATATCAATTTAGAATAACCATTTGATATACTATCAATTGATTGCAACAAAGTTAAGTGTCCAAGCAATGGGGTGGAAAAAGTGAAATTTAAGCAAAGTTAAGAAGTTTTGAGATTCACACTAGCATTGCTAAAGGAAACATGCCTCTCCGTGGAATAATTAAAAAACAAAAATGTTCATAGTCAAGACTAAGTATATAATAAAACATGATATCATACATCCATCACCTCCACAACTCTATCGCTCCTCTTTTCTGTATCCATTTTCTTAAAGATAAATGACAATTTACACCACCAAACTTTAGAGAAATTTATATACTCATTCCTTTTATTGAGACGTAAGTTAATGTAATGTAAAACATTTTGGCTGCCTATCATGGGGAAGAAGATAAAAAGGGGAAAATGTACATACTGTCAAGTTCAGTAGATATCAGAAAGGTTTACATGATGCCAAAAATCTATTTTTTATTTAGTAGCCATTGCTACTCTTTGGTTCCTAACTGCCGGGGGGTAAGAATAAATGGGAGGGGACGGATTTTATGTTCAAAAATTTATTGAGGGGGGGGGTTCCAATTACCGGAGGGGTCTAAATTATGAGTTACATATACTGAACACTCAAAATGCATTTAAAATAAGTAAATAAACTTATTTCACTATTATATAGCTATTATTTATCATCAACAATATTTAGCCTGTGTTACGCATATTTCACTACAATAATTAACAGAAAGTGCCAAAATCAATTGGACAAATTTTCAATAAATAATTAGCGGATGGGGGGACGGCAATTAGGCACCTAATAGTAGGCAGTTATACTATTGTTTCATAAGAATAATTTTCTAAGAGCACGAGCCTTAAAACCAGTAAAAAGTTAGAAACCAATTAAAAGAAATATGAAGAGGCTGAGCCAACCCCTTTCATCTCTAAAACGATAGATTTTGCGGCTCAGGGTTACGTTGGCGATTCATTTCCAAATATGTTTGCAAACGAAGAATAATAGACACTATCTTTGTAGGCAAACGAGGCGTGAACACCTGCACCTGCCTGGAAGGCAATAGCTAGCAATACCACTAGCTGCTTACATGCTTATAGTAATTTAAGAACAAATCAAGATCAATCCAGCCTCGCAACAATTAAAGAAAGCCTGACTTAAGTTCAATTTATCTGGAGTTAAATTCTTGCATGGTCATTATTAGCATAATCAAAATTAAAAGGTTTGTTTGCACTTCTTCCAACATGTAATGCATCTCACTTTTACTTATTCTAAGATTACTGGCTCAGCTTAGAACAAAAAGTAAACGTACTCACCTAGTGTGTTCAAAGTCTTCTTTGGCGGGAATAATTTTCAATTTAGTTTTTAAAGCAGATAAATCACATGATCAATCCACGATAGAGCAAGGACATGAAAGAGAACCGCATATCTCATGGGAAATGGCAATATATTTTAGTAATACAAACAAATTACACTAACAATAAATTAAACAAATTTTGCAACAACTCAACATTTTAAAATTCACTATAGTCACAGTCATTGATAATCTGGATCTATTGACGAAAGAAACAACAGTACGGCGAAAAGAGCAATAATAGATCGATGGATGTTTATTAGGAAATCAGCCGTCTTTAAGCGTCTGCGATAAAGGGCTGCTCACAGGGAAACCACTAACTAATGCAAAAACATAATCAATTTCCAACAAGATGAATCTCAGCGGAATCAAATGATTGACAGTACCGTTCACACAAATAGATACCATTAAACAACAATATATTTATCCATCCATTATTGTTCAGTATGATTAATGCCCTAATTATGTCTGCGTATAGCTGTAGAACACGTAGCAAATACACCACCTAAGCCAAACAGTATCGCGTTGACATTTCTGGATTGATCCTGAAATGAAAAGAAGCAAATCATAATATCATGATAAATGAAAACAACAAAACGGGGTTCTCTATACATTAATAATGATCAGAAAAGAAGCAAATAATGATGTCATGATTAATGAAAACAACAAAACGGGGTTCTCTATCTTGCAAGAAATCGAGTGCCTAGTGTAGAAACAAAGACCCTCAATCGATCGAAAAAATGTTCTTTCAAATCAACAACTATATAACAAACTGAGAACCGATAAAGGTTGTAATCCCTGCACGCTACAGGAAAAGCAATTCAACGATTCGAATCGCTTCTACGAGATTTTCAGTTGATATAATTTGTGTTGATATTAAATTGGTTTATGTTTAAAAAATCCTTCAAAATAAAGACTATAATATCACAGCCACGCCCAATCTAGAAGATAATAACCCCAAAAAATTACAATTGCAAAACCTTTCAAAATGAGCGTTTGGACTCTAACATACTCAATAGCGTTTGAGAGTTACGACAATAAAGCTTGGAAATTGAAACACAGAATGAGGTGCCGGGCCTCTTTGACACTGCATTACAAAAAAGGAAACATCATAAAAACGTCAATTCCCAAAGTAAAACAAAAACCCATACCACCATTCGAATCGCTTTGATGAAAACTTTCATTTGGTGTTATTCATTTTGACGTTGAACATGTATTTAATTAGTTAATTTTCAAAAATTCCATGAAGTTGAAGACTATGACGTCACTATGACATCACAGCCCCGCCCAATTTGAAAATTAACCACCCTAAAAGATGCCCCTTGCAAAAAGCTTCAAAATGAGCCTTTGGCCCCTAACATACTCCATATCGTTTTAGAGTTATGACAATGATGCCTAGAAACTGCAACACAAAATGGAGGGCCGGACCCAGCTACATAGACGTTACAGTACCAGAAATTAAAAACACTCTAGAATCATCAATTGCTAAATGAAACCCCCATATAATAGTACCATTCGAATCGCATCAACGATATCTTTCATTTGTTGTCATTCATTCAGATGTACAGATTGTTTTTGATAAAAAACTATAACAAATCATCAGAAATAAAACTATGACGTCAGTGTGACAACATAACCACGCCTAATTAACAAACAACTTACACCAGCAGATGACCCTTGTGAAACCCTTCAAAATGAGCCCATGGCCCCTAATTCATTCCATACAGTCGCCGAGTTATGGCAATAAAGCTTCGAAAGTCAAAACACAAAATGGCGGACCGGGCCTGGTCAGAAAGAACAATTACACCAATACAGAAAAGTGCCAAAACTTCAACCGGTCATAGTGACGTCATTACTAGGTGTAACCCCTAAACCAATACCACCAATCGATTTGTATGGACGAGATCTTTCGTTTGCTGCAATAATATCCGAGATATTATGTATCTCATGTATCACAGAAGTTATGGGCCTAAACGTTTTTCAAATACCGGCCATTACAAATGTGCCAATTCTGAAAAAACTGTGACATGTACCGTAAATTACACTCCACCCCATCAAAGAACACGAATTTACCTATCTTTTCCACGTATTACCCACACTAGCACTGGTTTCACAAAAGAGAAACGAATTTTTGAAAATGGGCCTAAATATGCCATTGTGACGTAGCTATGACGTCACAGCCACGCTCAAATCCAAAACCAAATACATCAAACTGACTGCCTTGAGACGCCCTTTCATATGAGCCATTGCAAGCTGAGGTACCACATACCTGTGCAGAGATATATGCCAAAACGTCTGAAATTGGCACATTTTCAAATTTTGGGACAAAATTGCACATTATCTTCAACTTTTTTTGGAACAACCATACCATCAAAAGATGCGCCGTGACGCCCTCTATCCATTTAGGTGGTATGTGGGGGGGGGGGGGTGTACCACGTCTGTGAAAAAAGTTATTCGCAAAAAACCAAAAATTTTATGGCTCTTTAAACTTTTGGCACTTTTTGGCACAAAGGAAATGTGACAATCGATTTTCGACCACAGGCCCGGATTGCCAACTGGATGGAAAGTTTTTTGGCACGTTTGGATTTCCCAGCACTGAAACACAGAAAAAGTTATTCGGCCTCAAAGTCAAATTTTTTTTCAATTTTCCGACGTCGCTGTGATGTCATAGCCACGCCCAAATCCAAAACCGACCACACCCAACGATGCCCCTTGAAAGGGGCAACATTTGCTGTGAGGGGCGTAGTGGTACCCCCGCTGGTTCAAAAGTTATGGCCAAAAGACTTTTTTGGCACCCCGTTTTTGACCCTATTTTTTGGTTTTTGGCACACAGTGGCGCAACCGTAAAAGGTACCAAGACGCCGTTCCCACCCTTTTCAATCCACCATATAGCGATCACTTTGCCACCGTTTGCACATCTGTACCACATTTGGTCTCTCTGTGCCAAGGTCCCAAACAGGGCCCACTTTCGCTTTGCTCTGTGACGTCACGACCACGCCCAACCACGCCCAAACTAAGGTCACTTGTGGACCTCGCGGAGATCTTTCGTTTGAGCCACGTGCCAGTTTTGTCCCATTTGTGGTTCAAAAGTTAGGGTCCAAAGTCTGTTTTTGGCACTTTTTGGCACCAGTGCCATTCGGTTTGTGCCAAATAACTCGGAACAGAAAGGTGGTACCCTGGTGCAAACGAAGGTTCTCAGTTACCCCACTGAATTTGGCACAGTTTGAGCCTATTTGGGCTTCTGTACCTCTTGTCAACTTTTTGCCCTGTTAGTTTGAAAATCGGTGAAAAAGTGCCAAAATCGCCTCTTCTGACGTCACTGTGACGTAGGTGCCACGCCCAATCAGAGTGCCGTTTCTTGCAAAAGGTGCGCCCCCACTAGCTCTACGACCTCCCGCAAACCCCGTTTCGATACCCCTCTTCGTTTTCGAGTTATTCACGAAAAACCTGTTTTTTGACCTGTTTTTCCACCCCCGTGACACATGTTTTTTGGGGTTTACCCCACCTTACCCCGTTACCCCAACTCCCAGATTTCGTATTCGACTAGGGCCTCTTACAGATACGCCTTATAAAAGAAGAATTTTTCAATTCCCACTTGCGGTTCAAAAGTTATTCACGAAAAACACTTTTCCAAAATTTCTAACATGAATATTCCCACTTGCTTCTGTAGCGTAAAGCTGAAAGCATTGGAGCAATTGTTCGTATGACGAATTATGTAGTGGCAGTAAAGGCAGTGATTTTCTGAGAGGAATTCGTTGATATAAGGAAAGAGGTAATTTTCACTCCAGAGAGCACTATTTGGGTTTCTGTAGATCAATTGATTGTAAAATGAACTTTTATTATATTTAATAAAAGGAGAGGTCAAAATGAATATGCAAATGATCACAGCATACAATGGATATCTTCCAGCCTCTCCCTTCTCTTTTATTGAACTGATAAACCTTAGCCTAGAGAATCAGGGAAAGGGATAAACAGCTACAAACCAAACAAGCCTATACAATAGAATATGAGGATATATCCAAATGTACAAAGATGCAATTCTTAAGTGAATCAATGATTGCATAAAAGTATCTATTTTCAAGGATTTTGAGAGAGAAGTCAAGGGGATCTGCGAAAATGCAATTGGCTACCCAAACTACTTTTCTAAAAAAAAATTTTGAGTGCACAGTAGCAGAACAGCGCAACAGGTCAACAGAATGCACTCCATAGAAGAGAATATATTTTTATCTATAGAAGAGAATTATGTAAAAATAAATCATATTAGACATTAGGACAAAGAAGTTGTCTTAAAGTGCCTGTAACAGGATTCTTTTATTGTCTCTATCAACTTTTCCTGTTACCTTTAAGTCATATTTCAAATTTTATCGAAAAATCTGATACTTTGACCGAATATTACCTGTTAAATTCGGGCCAAGGCGAGAGTGCCACAATCAAGTTGCCATAGCTCATGACGTCTCGGGATGAATTTGTTTTGAAACCCTCACCTGGAATCAGCTGATAAGGCAGTAGGTCGCGTGAAGTTTTAAATTCATTTTCAAGTCCTTCTTGGCACGAGTGTTCACGATACAAAAAGATGCGTGGTTGGATAATGGATAATGTAGGGCCACGAATAATGATGGACTGTCGCTTCACAAGTTTCCTAAGTAAGAAAATTTTCATGTACTGTGGACGAAGTTCCTTCAGACTACACGACGTGACTTCACATGTCCTTCCTCGTTTAGCGTTTTTTGTAGCTTGCATTACACGCCAGACAGTTATGAAGCAAATCCAGTTGCCGATTCTGTCTTTGGAACAAGGTAATTAATCTTTTTTAGCTTTTCGGCACTTTTCGGCATAATTCCAACTTGTATCAAAGTGTAGGCCTAATGTCTAGGCCGACAGTTTTTGTATGGTATGTACCAAATTAGACATCTGAGTATATTTTAATTGAAGAAAATCAACCAATCTGAAATCATTCTTTCAGGCAAAAAAAGTTTGGCAGGAATGCAGTTCCTACAATTAAGAAAGCACTATATAAAGTCATTAACAATTAATACGTTTTCATATAATTGATGATATTTTACTTATCTGATCTATTTGCAGCTTTTTCAAATGGCCTGTGCAGAATCAACCTACACAAACACAGTTGGGAGGAGATCCGTGAAAACCAAAGCAATAATTAAAGGAAGAAGTCAAGGTAATCAATCATTACTTTTGATGCCAGCAGTTTTTTCTACCTTTGATATTTGTAAATTTTATTACATTGCAATATAATATATAAATTCATTGCAATACAATAAATGGCTTTCTTTGAGCACAATTTTTCTCTGGATTTCAATGGATACATTGATGCTGAATTTTGCTCTTGTTTATTCACATTAGGTATCCAAATATTTCCCAATATGACGTCCAGAGGTATCCACTTGTTGCAGCCATGCACATCCACACCACTGAACAGTGACGATGATAGTGACATTGAAGGGTTCCCCATGGATGAATTGTCATACATGCTTCGGGACAGTACCATGGAAACCTCTGGTGATGAAGATAGTTATACTGATGAGTATGTATGCTAAGCTTTATTCTAAACTGTTAGCTTGGTGAAATCGAGCTCTGGTTCTTAAATCAATTTGTATCTCATACTATTAGATTCAAAACAATTCTCACCTGCTTCTCATCAATAGAATGTCAGATGAACAGTTTGGAGATCACCAGAGGAAGTTTATTGTTTATGAGAAGAATTTGTTGGAGCTTTTCATCTTGTGTTCTTTTTGTTTTTACTCTGGTTGTAAATCAACAATTTCATGAGCGGTTGGAGCAATGGTTATGGTAGAGCAGTTGCTGCATAATTTTTTGTCTATTTGTTTTTGCTTAAAAATTTTTTCGGGTGGATGTTTGCAATAGAGGATTTTGTTGCATATACAGTTAAAACCATACAGATTAGTGCTATTTTTAATGTTATTTTTGTGCTCACTTATCACAATATTCAATCTTCCCTAGCCCAAGGACGTTCTTCAGACACCAGCAAGCTTACCTTTGCCCTTTGGAAATGTGAATCTGATTTCTCAAGCAAGGTATTCTGCTGCAGGGAAACAGCATTGTTGTAGAAGGTGATGCACGTTGTGATTCAATGGGTCATTCAGCAAAGTATTGACCAAAAGACACATTTCTAGACCAAAAGATCAACAAAGTTCTAGATCTTGAGCTTGTACAGGACAGTCAAATTTAAGCCTAGCGCACACAGCAGATATTTGTCGCAAAAGACGAAGATTTTTGTCTTTTTCATAAAAACTGATTGCCCGCACACAGCACGATTTTTTTCGGATTAGTGCCTCGATTAAGTTTTGTGACCTCTTTTTCACATTGTTTGAACTTCTTGGCGCGTAAAATAAAATTCCAAACACGAATAAAATTGCTCAAGAAACTGACAAAGGTTATGAATTTGACAAAAAAGAAAGCACTGTTGGCTATTATCCTTTTAATAAGACGAAGAAGAAGGAGGCGAATTGCGAGACGAATGTGGGTGAAATCCTGGATTGAGCGTAGAAATGAGCTGGGAGCATATCAGAATCTTGTTCAGGAGTTAGCATCGGAGGATAAACCTATGTACCAACGCTATTTTCGTCTCAACGAAGACCTTTTCAAATCTCTTCTTGCCAAAGTAAGACCAATGATTCAAAGAAAAGACACACACATGCGAAAATCAATTAGTGCAGCAGAAAGACTTGCAGTCACACTACGATACTTAGCAACAGGTGAGATTTCACAATAGTCTGCCAGCTTGATTCAAAGAGAAAATATAGGATACAAATGAGAAAAGTAAAAATATATTTGTGAATAATAAAAATAACTTTAAATATTCTAAATGTTTCTTCTACAGAGTTCGTAGCAATACTTAATAACAATAATGAAAATACTTCTTACTAATTGATATCTTTCACAAACCATTTCACCTTTAATGCCAATCATAATGAGCATTTTGAAATGAGTATCATCAAAATGAATGCAATCATAAATCTGATAATCTTACATGGAGAAATTGAGGTAATCATATCATTTTAGATATTGATTGGTATAATAAGATGTTGCATATCTTTACAGGAGAGTCATTTCACAGCCTGGGATTTTCATATAGACTTGGAGAAAGAACAATTTCATCAATAGTGACAGAAACTTGTGATGCAATTTATCAGAATCTTAAGGATAGATATCTTAAGGTACATAACATTTTTTGTTTTCTACTTTTTGGTTTTCAATACAATATTTAATGTGCTAATTAAAACCAACTCACATAACATTGAAGAGTGCAGTGAAAGCAATATACTGTATGAATTTTAAAGATTAGAATTGTCCGTACGATGGCCCTTCACTCATATCTTGCTGGTCAAGTGACTGCCTGAAAGACTGCATTCTAGCATGTTGACCAGCATGATATGGGTTGTTGAATTCATTTGAGAAAGAGCCCATCTGTGCCTGAAAAAGAGCATTTTGAATGTTGTTCATTGCAACAAGTCTTGTTTTCTCATCCATCACAGACAAAGCATGTGTAACGTATTCCCCAAAGGCAGCTGAAGGGCTTGGCTTTGCATCCTTTTTTGCAGCTAAATTTTCATCTGCAGAGAAAGATGAAGCAAGAGGCTTCAGAATGGAGAGTTCTTCCTCTTCCTTTTTCTGCTTTGCAGTTTTGGATTTTTTAACAGCAGCCAGTGGCCTGCTTGTTGAAACTGGTGTCTCTGCAGCAGGGGCATCATTGTCGTCCAAGTCTCCATCACAGTCACTGTCACCAGTGTTAAGCTGTGGCTCAGATAAACTTTCAGTTGAAGACTAAAATTTAATATTTTTGTATTTTAGATTCCAAGCACATCTCATCAATGGAAAACAATCAGTGATGGTTTCTACAATTTATGGGACCATCCTTTTTGTGTTGGTGCATTAGATGGCAAACACATTGCAATCAAACAACCAAAAATGTCTGGATCAGAGTACTTCAACTACAAGGGATATTTCAGCATAGTCCTTCTAGCATTGGCAAGTTATGACTACAAGTTGATATTTGTTGATGTTGGTGCAAGTGGAAGAAATGGTGATGCTGGACTTTTTGAAACATCGCCTCTAAATCAACAGATGAAAGACAAATCAATTGCCTTTCCAGAAGCTGAGCAAATTTGGGGAAACATGCATCAAATGTCATTATCATATCATTGGTGATGATGCATTTCCCTTGAGAAATGATATCATGAAACCATTCCCATTTAGACAACTGTTACATGAACAGCACATTTTCAACTACAGGCTTTCTAGAGCACGACGGGTTGTCGAAAACGCTTTTGGTATCATGGCTAATAGGTTCAGGGTGATGCTGACAAAGATTATGTTGGAGCCTGAAAAGGCTAAGCAAATTGTGCTGGCAATTTGTTGTCTGCACAACATGCTGATTGATGAGCAGCCTTCATATAAAAATGCATGTGACAGTGAAAGAGACAACCATGAGCTTTTTCAAGGCAGCTGGAGATTAGACAAATCTCTAACTGAGTTACAGAAGACAAAAAACAGAAACTGTTCATTAAGTGCTAAGGGTCAGCGTGAGCTTTTGAAACAATATTTTTGCTCAACATCTGGATCAGTATCATGGCAAGATAGTATGGTTGCAACAAAAAATAATGAACTCAACTAGCTAGTGTTGTATTGTACCTGCAAATTAGAAATAGACACTCTGTTGGATACATATGGGCTTAAAAATTGAAGGCGGTCTTCTATCCATTGAGTCTTCTTCATCTTTTTTGGTCGTGCACTTCCACTGCTTGGGATTCTGCGGGAGCGTGCATATTGCGTGCGCAGAGATGCGATTCTTTTTTTTACTTGATTCACTAGAATGAATAAAACATGAATTCGTACAGCAATGTTTCACTTCAAATTGAGTAGGCCTAAGAAAAGAGGACTAGCCTAGCTAGCTAGTCAAAATTATTCACTCACCGTTTGAAGAAAGTTTAGTTGCAATTTCGTTCAGGGCTGCTAGCTTCTTGTTTCTGTCTGAATATTCTGGAGACGTAACCATATACAGACAAGCCTTTTCTTGCCACAGATCGACAAGCTGCTCCTCTTTGCTTGCTGTCCATATACCGACTTCGTCTTCTGTATTCTCCATGGCGTTCTCGATCTTTTTTCTTTTGGCGGGAAAGAAAGGCTCCACAGAATTCACGTGACCATATAATCCAAGTTTTATTGGTTTAAAAATTAAAAACTTGTCTTTCGACCCCGCACATTGCACGATTTTTGTCTTTCGTCGTAAAAGACAAAGACAAATATCAAACATTTTTGATCTCAAAGATAATCGTAAAAGACAAAAATCTTTGCGATTTTGCCCCGCACACTACAGATTTTCGTCTTTTGAGACAAAAATCTTCGTCTTTTGCGACAAAAATCTGCTGTGTGCGCTAGGCTTTAACACCCACATAAATGTTTCTGTTGCTGAAAATGAAGGTGACTTTTCAGGACTATGCACTAATGTAATTTTTATATTTTTAGTCAAATGAGGTTGCTAGTAGCTATCACATGGAGCTTGAAGAACTTACAAGAATCATTGCACGCAGGAAAGGAAGTGAACTAGGCATCTCTGCAATAGTGACTGATGGGCACAAGTCAATCCAAAAGTGGCTGAAGGACAACTGTCACAGTGTCAATCGCTATTTAGATGTATGGCATGTTGCTAAAGGTATTTTTATAAAAATTGAAACATGATTATATATTTCTTCGTTTGAGTCTGTCTCTTTTGAACCTGTAGTAGCAGCACTAACATTAAATTTTGCAATCTTGTACCTAATACAGTTATTTTTCACTACAGGTCTTTCCAAGAGGTTTGGCTAAGAGGCCTCGTTGTTCTCTTCTTGGCAAGTGGATCAAGAGTATAGTCAACCATATGTATTGGTGTGCAGCTAGGTCTGGTGGTGATGGGGATTTAATGCTTGCTAAATGGGACTCCCTGGTTAATCACATCTGTAATATCCATGAGGGGCACTTAGAACTTTTTCCAAAATGCAGCCATGAACCTTTAGATGATGACCCAATGGATTGGTTTCAGCCCGGTTTATATTTTCTTCCGTCATGTTGTAAGTTCTGAGTCTTTCCAGCAGATTTTAATTAGTTGGATAGTGGCAGTGTAACATGACCAATCATATTGTAAACTACAATCATGTGATATGTCAATCAGGGGCGGATCCAGACTTGTGAAAAATGTTCATAACACGGGGATCGAATGCCAGTTATCTTTTGTTTTTGGTGAGCTCCAGCGCTACGTACCGGCTCCCATAATTAGATGATTCGATGACGACAAGATATCGTATTAACATGGTAATGATTGTTTCTAACAGCTGTGTGCTCAGAATCACGATTTCACCCTGCGCTTCTCTTCAGCACTGGTGTGATTTGATTTAATTTCTTTCCAGCCAATAGATGCTTAGACCACTGGAGCTCAATTTGGCGGGAGCACTAGTGGGATTTAAAGTGTTTCTTATCTGGCCAATTGCAGCTCGTAATCTACCTTATCACACTTATGCAAGCACCATTGTGATTTGCTGCTGCTTTGCAATCGCAAGATCAAGTAAGAATCCCTATCCCTATGAGCAAAGGTAGCTCGGAGTTGATTGATCACTAGGGTATCATAATTCGTATGATTTATATCTCAATACTTATATCTCAATCTCAATAATTCAAAACTTAATGGCGGCAAGATTGGAAAAGCTTTTTACTGTTCGGCAGGAAAACTTAAGGGACAGGGTGGAAGAAATTCGGGTAGCCCTGCAGCGAGATTTTCATTTAAGAAAAGAAAATGCTTCGAAGCAGTGGCCTGTGTTGACAAGGTGTGATTTCGCAGAGCTGCAGTTTCCACTGAGCCAAAAGGAACGAGCTCACAAATTATGGCCTATCCGGTATGGAAATATTGTCTTGATTTTTAGGCTATGAGCAGTAGCCTATCCTATGCATCATTATATAAGTAAATTCCTTGATTCTAGGCAATTGAAACATTGATCAGTTAAAATTCTGACTGATATTTTAGGCTACCCATAGTCAATAGAAAGGAAAGCAGCAAATTTTAAAAAATTGTCCTGTTATTCCCTTTAAAACCTTCATTTTGATAAAGCTGTTCTACTTGAATGTATTTATTGAAATGTACAGGGATCTCAACATTAGACTTTTGGTAAATTCTACTTCAAAACAATGGGTGCATGGAACACTTTCCCCCTTTTTGTACAGGCCCTGCAAGTACTGTTAATACAGAAACAAAAATTATGACAAAATGCTTGTTCTGTTTTGCCTATACTGAGCACTAAATGACAGACAAGTAAACAATAGATTTGAATATGAGAAAAGCATTTAATTGTGTTGCCAAAATTAGTTGAGCAGTAGCTGTTTTATGTGCATAAATATAGATCATCAAATAAATATGGTAATATCCTTCTAAAGAAAGATAAAATCACCTAGCCAACAAGAGATGTAGGAGGTATCCAGACCATTCAATGTTTGTGTTTTCAAGCCATATCAGAAATATTTATTCCCTGAATTTACACAAAATTGATAAACAACTATGTGATGTCATTAGAGGGCATTTAGCTAAGGAAGATGTATTGATAGACTCTCTGCAACTATGTATGCTGTCCAAACAGCAAGAAAGAGTAGTAGATGATTAGCAGTCAATAAGAGTGCATATATGCTTATATTTTGTGCATATAAAACATTTATGTCTTTGAAAAATTAGAAGCACTATTATTCATGGTAATTCAATTACTGTTTTCCCAAAACACAATTTGGGTTTTACAAAAACTCTTTGCTTGCTATCGTTCAGGATCCTCCTTGACATCTCCATTTAAATCTCATCATATATAAAATATATTATTCACAATTTTCTTATACCTATTTTAACATTTTTCAGGAGAACTGGTGATGGGAACTGTTTATTCAATTCATGCCCATTAGCTTTAATTGGCGATGAAACTTTATCTGCAACTCTGCAGTCCCTAACATGTATTGAAATATACCTCAATGCAGATTACTAATCAGCTCATCCTCTCTGCCCATGAAGAAGGTGCATTCTTGATGGAAGATCATGCATTTCTCGCATCTTTGTCTTTTGAGGCTGTAGAGTCTTATAAAAAGGGACAGAGAGTTGCTGCTGTTCTTGCTGAGGCATCAGTTGCTGCAAGAACAAACAAACCTGCTTCTTTTCAAAGCTTATTAGCTTTGGCTTCGGCCATTCAGCAACCCATTGAAGCCTATTATCCAATTCAGATATTGATCCTAGACAAGCTTGTTTGATTGAAAATGTATCTCCTATTCACATATTTCGCTGTGCCATGGTTCCGATAGATTTTTTGCATAGAGGCAAAATTCCTCTGAGGAAAGATCACTATGTTGCATTGCTTAATTTTGATATGCTTCAGAGAGAGTCCAGAGCCTCCCACAATATGAAAGGAAGGGGTAAAACTGTGCCTCTTGCTTCAAAAGCATCTCCTTGCCATCAATATCTTTGGATTCAGATTCTTCAGGGCTTCATTCCTATAGCGCAGACTCTACCTCAGAACATAATAGGAAAAAAAGACAACTTTCCATTAGCAATTTTGTTTACAAAAAGTCAAGAGGTAATGATTTTCTTGATAAAGGTTGTGAAATGCAATCAGGTATCACACCTCTTACACCTGCAAAGCTTGATAGCAGCAGTGTGACATTTCCAGCTACAACTGTCTCTTCCAGTGACACAGAAACAGCGACACCATCTGTCACCTCTCTCGCAAATGCTTGCCCAAAAAACGACATTGGAATGATTATGGAAACACTGTCATCTCTGTCAGATGCAGAAAAACTTACTATGCTTTGTAATATCTGGAAACCAGAGCCAAGTTATCACTTTCCTATGAGTTCTTCTCGTCGGAAGTTTCAGTACAGCTGGCTCTCCGGATTCCCATGGTTAGCCTATTCAAAAGCTCTTGATGGTGCGTTCTGTGTTGATTGTGTCTTCTTCAGGGGAGAATACAGTCACAATACTTCAAAGTTTTTTCATTTGTTTCGCTCCCCTTTAACCAATTGGGCAACAGCATTAGAGAGATTCAATTACCACTGCACCAGATCTCAAGTTCATGCAACTGCTGTTTTACGGGCAAACCAATTTCGAGCGGTTATGGACAATACAAGCCAATCAATTAAGGTGCAATATGACACTAGTGTCTCAAAGCAGGTACAAATCAATAGACAAAAGCTGATACCAATTGTTGAAGGGGTCCTTTTATGCGGCAGAAATAATATGTCCCTCCGCAGTCATCGGGATGATTCAAAATATTATGATGAGACAGAAAACAACCCAGGAAACCTGCAGGCCATCCTAAGTTAGAATTTAAGAATATTTTACCAAAGTTTCTCAAAGTGTGGGTGAATGGCAGTATATAGAAAAGCATTTTCTGGTGAGAAGAGGGCGTGGCATCAAAGTTTTTTGATGGCCCTGCCATAACCCTGCCCCCACCACGCCCTTCTCCTTGCTGGAGCACCAGTCATACTTTTCCCTGGATCCGTCCCTGTCAATTATTATTAATAGTAGAATATTAATCGAGAGATTGGAAATAAGAGGAGATTGAATTTGGTTTGAATACAGAAGAAAGTGGTGTTCTCGTTTCAATGCTCTACTGTTATGACCTATCACGAAGAGACGTTAGGCCTCATACATGGGCTTGCTGAAGTTGTTAAAAGCCAACAACAAGCCCAGAAACATGCCTCGGAGTCTACAGCGCAACAGCTTCAAGAGCTTTCTGCCACTGTTGCACAACTCTCCACCCACACCGCAAGACACCCAAATACCTCTAAGCTACCAAATTTACAACTGCCAAAGTTTACGGGAGCTGAGCCACTGGACCGATTTCTCCAGCAAATGCAAAATGTTTTGACATCCTCCAATGTCCCACCCTGTTTATGGCTCACTTATGTCAAGCAGCAATGCTTTCAAGATGCGCGAGCCTACAACATTTTGTGTTCAATGGAAGACAATAAGGTGCAGGCCCCACCCTTTGATGCCAAAGATGAAGATCATCTCGATTGGTTTCAGCACTGCCTTTACTCACATGCAGCATAACGAGGGATTACTATAGTTGAGTCTTGGAAGAACGAGCGTCAAGAACCTCGCCGAATTTGAGGTGAACAAATTTGTATTCAGTTCAATAAATTGTATTCAGTCCAGTGGCCCTATCCTGACAGCCATGGCTTGAACTTAAAATGGAAAAAGTTCTGAAGCATAGCTATTGTTAAAA